ACATTACCATTTGGGAAGCAGAGGTATATGGATCTCTGTAAATTCATGGCCAGCATGGACTACAGAGCTAGGTCCAGGACAGCCAAGGCTACACAAAGAAATCCTTTCTTGTAAAGCCCCCCCCCAAAACTTAGTTATCTGTGATATATCCATGTATAATTCAGGCACACTGGAGACAAGGTGGGCAAATCGCTCTGATGACTAGAAGAGTCTAGACTATATAGTGAGCTCCAGGCCACCCAGAGTTTCATAGTGAGCATATTCTTTAAAATAAAAAGAAAAAATAGAAAACTGGAGCACATCATTAATAAAAAAATGTAAACATCACTTTTTTTTGTTGTGACTAATTTAGAACAGTGATGAAGATGTAAGGCAATGAATTCAACCTTGGGGTTCTGACAGGTTTAGATAAAAAGCAAGGCGTATGCACAAAAAAGTAATATAACCAGGTCCTATAATTAAGGTTTTTCCATCTCTTAAACCCTCCCCCAACCTCAGCTCCTGTCTCTCCTCCAAGGAGGTTTCTTCAGTACAGGTAATCTCATCAGCAGTCAGTCCTTTTCCAGAATGAAAATTATCAAGGAAATAAGAATTTCATGGTATCCACTATTTCATGAGTTGTTAGCCAAAGAGATATAAATGTGATGCAGAATATCCTTATTCATGCCAGGAGGCGGGTACCAGGTATTGATGAGATGGAGACAGAGGATCTTTAAGGTCCCAATTGGGGCCACAAAGTGGGGGATGTAGGGTACTGTCACTGACAAGCTACATGAATTGACATAGCAATACAAAACCTAGAGGGAGATGATCCACCAGTTGAGTGGATAGAATTCAGTTCATACCAACTGGTCCTCATGTACACCCTAAGCACCACTCATGGGCATTTGAACTTTGGGCTTTCACACCCAAACCTAACAATGTTTCAAACTCCACAGCTCTTTGTAAATGCCTGATTGCCTTAGCCTTAGAGTGACTTAAGTTCAAGTCTTAACAATTCTTGACTTAAGCTCTCCTTACAAACTGGATGTCATCTAGAATGACCGCCATTCAGGGCACCTAAGTGAAGGCATTGCAGGCATCAGGGAAACAGAATGTGAAACCATTCTAACAAGTCAGACTTCATGCCTGCAAGTTACTTTTCTTTCCTTACAAGAGGTATAAATTTAATAAGGGGTACACCTGACATGTGAGACTATGAGCTCCAATTTGAGGTTATTTACCTTATTGGAGATAAACTCACTCTTGTGGCTCTGGTTAAATAGTCAACCATCTTTTAGACTTTTATTGTCAATTTCTCTCCTGATCATTCATTGTACTTTTCCCTCATTTTGTGGAGATTAGGCTTGGAAAATTCTTGAAGAGAAATATAAAATCCAAAAGGGTTACATTATTGTTTCAATTCATAGTACAAGTGTTACAGCTCTGAAGGGAAAGTTATCCTGACTGTCAGAAGTCAGGGTATACCTAAAACTATAAAATGAAGGTAGTCTGAATATCTACAGCTCTGTGGAGAAAGATACCCTGATTTGATGTGGGCTTCCTCTCAGTGTGCTGGGATTACTATTAATGAATTAAAAAAAACTGCCTTGGCCTGTTGATAGGGCAGAATTTAAGTAGGCAGGGATAACTGAACTGAATGCTAGGGGGAAGAAGGGCACAATAAGAGAGATGCCATGGAGCTGCCAGAGACAGATGCTGGGATTTGTACCCAGTAAGTGACAGCCACATGGCCATACACAGATTAACAGAAATGGGTAAAATTAATACGTAAGAGTTAGCCAATAAGAAGCTAGAGCTAATGGTCCAAGCAGTGATTTAATTAATACAGTATTTGTGTTGGTATTTCAGATCTAAGCTAGCTGGGTGGCTGGGGACCAAACAAGCAACCACCCTACAACACTGCTTGTCAGAAGTCAGGTTATACCTACAGTTGTGAAGGGAATGAATCCTGCCATGCTGTGAACATGTTTTATTGCCATTGGTTAGTAGAGAAGTTGCTTTGGCCTACAACAGGGCAGAATATAGTCTGGCTGGATGAGATATATAGAGAGAATTGGTGGAGTAAAAGAAATGCAAAGTAGTTGTTGAAGCAGAAAGATGTCAGAACAGAAACTTACTGATAACCCACCAACATTGTGGTGAGATTAACAGAAATGGGTTAATTTAAGATGTAAGAATCAGTTAATAAGAAGCTTGACTTAACAGGCAAAACAGTGTTATAATTAATATATTTTCTGTGGGACTATTTGGGTCTAGATGGCTACAGAAAAGGCCTGAACAGTCTCCAACTACAATCCTGGGTATCTACAGTTGATAGGAAAGCTACCCTGACTGTTATTAAGTCAGAATATACCAGAAACTGTAGAGAAAAGGCATCCTAAATACTTATAGCTCTGAAGACAAAGGTACCCTCACTGTCATATCAGGACATACCTACAGCTGTGAAAGTATACAGGATACCTTTAGGCATAAAGAGAAAGGAATCCTGACTGTTGAGAAGTCTGGCTATAACTGAAGCTGTGAAAGGAAGGTAGCCTAATACCTAGGGCTCTGAAGAAAAAGGTACCCTGACTGTACCTACAGTTGTGAAGGGAAAGTGTACTGGATACCTACAACTATGAGGTGAAAAGGTATCCTTGTGGAGGCCCAAAACCATGAGCCTATTTCCCCTTATCTGAAGGTCAGAATTTGAGGTTGCCCTAAATTGTTAACAGGTGTGGCTACACACCCTGACCTAAGGTCTGGTTGTTTTGTGTTTTGGACTTTAAGAGAGCCAAAACAGGAAATCTACGTGCCCTTGAGCAAAGGTGAAAGAATCCAAACAAACTTCTGCTCCTTCTTTTGAATTAGGGAATGACTGCCTTTAGGATACGTGGTCTAAGGAGGGTTCACTGCCTAGTAACAGAATGTTTTTCCAAATAATTAAGGACTTGATGGCTCAAAGTATTGAAGGAAGTAACTGTTCTAGTTGTCTTTTGAATTATGTTAAAGCAGTCTTTTATCTTCTTCCCCCTGTTGTATTGGGGTATAAAAGTATATGAAAAATTGGGCTAGAAAGATGGCTCAGTGATTAAGAGCACTGCCTGCTCATCTAAAGGTTCTGAGTTCAATTCCCAGGAACTACAGGTTGGCTTACAACCATTTGTAATGAGATCTGATGCCTTTTTCTGGGCTGCAGGAATACATGTAGGCAGACTACTGTATACACAATAAATAAATCTTTAAAAACACTATATGAAAAATTAAATGCAGGTAGATTTCCAGTATTCATGGTAACTCCCTCCCGGTACTATCCTATGCTTCTGTTTTATTATTTTCACTTGCGTCTTCATTCTCTTTATTTATGTTCTAATTCCCATGCCCCTACCCTGGTAAGTGGCATACTTGTCAAAGATGGTCCCTGACATATACTATTGGGAAGCCTGGCTATAACCGAGGTGTGTGTTCCAGTGTGAGATGTTCTCCCTAAAGGATGTAGCAATGCCATTCCCCTACAAAAGAGAGCCATCATAGCTGGGCCCTGCTTCACTCTGCTAAGAGAGCTTCAAAGCAGAGACATCCATTGCTGTTCTGCCCCACTTCCCTAAGGGAGTTTCCTAGCAGAGGTGTCCAATGTTTCTCTGTTCCACCAAACTAGGGAGTTTCCTAAAAGAGATGTCAATATTTTTTCTCAGCTTCAGCCCAATTTGTTACTTCTCTGCTTCACTGGAGTTGATGGGAAACTCTTGCAGAAATATTGCAGTCTCTGGTGAACAGTCGCTACTTCAGATCTGCTCCTTTCAGGGGGTTTGTTGCCAGCAGAGGTGACCAAAGCTTCTCTGTTCCAATCAACTACAGAGTCTGATCACTCCAATGAAAAGTCTTCACCCAAATCTCATTCAAGAAATTTCTTTGGAAGGGAAGAATCCAGAAGGACTCCCTCTGCCAAGGTAGAAATAGGCAGATGCCAACTGAACATGTACAGAATATACATAGGTCTTCTTAGGGGTAGTGTTTTCCCAGGGAGAAAATTCTCAGGGTGGTAATTGTTTAGCTATCAATCCCTGATCTTGAACAATGCAGAGATTTGCTGGATTTCATACCCAGGTGTTGATAAAACTGGAGCTTTGGAATTACCTGGTTTTATGCACAGGTTGTCAAGGGTAGTGTGAGTTAATTTGGCTCTTGTTTCAGGGCCAAAGTGCATTCTTTCACTATCCCCTTATACACTTTTGAGTCTGGTTTCAGGGTCAGATGTTTCTGGACTCAGGAGCAAAGTGTGTTTCTTTGTCTTGGTTTTAGAGTCAGAATGTATTACTTTGGCAACAGTTTCAGAATCAAAGTTATGTATTTCATTGGCTCTGGTTTCAGGGTCAAGATGTGTTTCTTTCTCTGGCCCATTTACCCAACACATAGGGCTTCATAAATTCATAAAGTCATTTAACCATGAGTTTGTAACTACAAGCAGTATAAAAAAGACATCGTAATGCTTGAAAAAATTGTTAACACTGTCAAATTTATTTCTACAGAAGAGATAGTCTTGTGTTGTAGGCAGAAGATTCTTGTTCACTGCTGGCTACCCAGACCCAAAAAAAATCACATAGAAACTATACTAATTAACACTGGTTGGCTTATTAGCTCAGGATTCTTGTTAATATCCCATTCCTATTAATTTTTACTTTATCAAAAGACTTTTGATTTACCAGTAAGATTCCAGGGCATCTGTCTCCTTCAGCAGATACATGGAATTTGACTCCACTTTCTTTTCTCTTCTATCCTATCTCTGCTTGGAATTCCTGCCTTGCTCTATTCTGCCTTGCCATAGGTCCAAAGCAGCTTCTTTATTTAACAATGGTAAGAAAATACATTCACAGCATATAGAAGGGAAACCCAAAACATTGTGTAGCTGATTGTAACTGTTTTGGCTAAAGATTTTACCAAATACTTTATAATAGAAAGTCCTCAGTATCTTTTTCGGGTAGTCAATGTCTATTGTAATATACAAAGATTTTAACAGATTGTTGCACACAAAAAGTTTTATTCCTATATAAAGTACAAAACTTTATTACACTGAATACGTTTACAGGGTTTCTCTGCAGTATGATTTTTTCTCATGATTTAGATTATTCACACATGCAAAGGCTTTACCAAACTGATAACATTCATAAAGTTTATCTCCAGTGTGTGATCTTTTATGCATTTGTAGAGTACTGTAAAGTGCAAAGGCTTTACCACACTCGTTACATTCATAGAGTTTAGCATTTGTTAGTTCATGTCTTTAAAAATAACTATGATAAACAAAGCCTTTAGCACACTAATTACATACATTATGTTTCTCTCTAGTATGGGTGCTTTTATGTTTTTAGGGATTACTATAAATACAAAGGCTTTTCCACATTGATTATATTCATAGGGTTTCTCTCCAGTATGTTTTTTCATGTGTTTGGAGACTACTGTGACATACAAAGGCTTTACCACACCTATTACATTCATAGGGTATTAACTCCAGCATGGATTCTTTCATGACTTTGTAGATGAATGTGCTGTGCAAAGGCTTCACCACACTGGATTGCATTCATAGGGTTTCTCTCCAGTATGGATTGTTTTATGCTTTCGGAGATAACTGAGCCATGCAAAGGCTTTACCACACTGATTACATTCATAGGGTTTCTCCCCGGTATGGGTTCTTTTATGTTTTTGGAAACTACTGGGATATGCAAAGGCTTTACCACACTGAATACATTCATAGGGTTTCTCTCCAGTATGTCTTCTTTCATGAATTTGAAGATGACCATGCTGTGTGAAAGCTTTACCACACTGATTACATTTATACGGTTTTTCTCCAGTATGGGTTTTTACATGTGTTTGGAGACTCCTTTGATATACAAAGGCTTTACCACATTGATTACATTCATAGGGTTTCTCTCCAGTATGCGTTCTTTCATGAATTTGGAGATAACTAGGACACACAAAGGCTTTACCACACAGATTACATTGATAGGGTTTCTCTCCAGTATGGGTTCTTTCATGACTTTGTAGATGATAGTGCTGTGCAAAGGCTTTACCACAATGATTACATTCATAGGGTTTCTCTCCAGTATGGGTTCTTTTATGCTTTCGGAGAGTACTGAGACATGCAAAGGCTTTACCACACTGATTACATTCATAGGGTTTCTCTCCAGTATGCGTTCTTTCATGAGTTTGAAGATGCCCTGGCCGAGCGAAGGCTTTACCACACTGATTACATTCATAGGGCTTCTCTCCAGTATGGGTTCGTTCATGATTGTGAAGATAAATGTGCCGTGCGAAGGCTTTACCACACTGATTACATTCATAGGGTTTCTCTCCAGTATGGGTTCGTTCATGCATTTTGAGATTACTCTGACACACAAAGGCTTTACCACACTGATGACATTCATAGGGCTTGTCTCCAGTATGCATTCTTTCATGTCTTTGAAGAACACTGGGAAATGCAAAGACTTTACCACACTGATAACATTCATATGGCTTCTTTCCAGTATGTGTTCTTTTATGAATTTGAAAAGTACTGGAAAGCGCAATAGCTTTGCCAAACTGATTACATTCATAAGGCTTCTCTCCGGTATGTGTTCTTTTATGCATTTGAAGAGTGCAGTGACAGGCAAAGATTTTACAACATTGATTATATTCATAGGGTTTCTCTCCAGTGTATGATCTTATAAGCATTTGAAGATGATTGTGATGTAAAAAGGCTTTATCACACTCATATTCTTCATAGGGTTTCAATCTAGTATGTATATTTTCATGCCTGTGAAGATGACATGCAAAGGCCTTAACACATTGAGTACATAGAGAAGTTTTCTTGCTAGTTTGACTTTTTTCATGCCTACAATGATAATGGTACATGTAAAATCATTACTACATTTAATACATTGTTGAATATTTTTATCTGTATAATTAATTTTAAAATTTAGTCCCATTTTAAAGAAGAATTAATGTTAAGGTTTTATCACCTTGTTTACAATCTTGATTTTCCACTTTATTAAGGCTTGATTTTCTTCTTTGAGGATAACTGATAAAAACCTTTATAACATGGTTCACATTTACAGAATCTTTTTTTTTCTGTATGAGAATTTTCATGTATTTGAAGAGAACTGAAAAAACTCAGAGCTTTACCACTCTTATTGCTTATATAACATTTCCTACACTGTGAGTGATACTACATTTGCTAAGTGAACTAGAACAGAAGCTTTTACACAGTCCTAGTATGCATGGTGCTTTTCTGAAATGTGAGCTGAGATGTTGATATATTAACAATGAGACTAAAAAACCAATTACTTGTATACTTGTACATCAAATTCAACAAGTATATTCAAATGGAGACTGCTACATATCTTCTACTTGTTCTGAGAGAGGGGTGTTACATTTCTTCACATCCCTATGCTTATGTGGCTTGTATCCAGAGGAACATATGATATACTTAGTAAAGGAAGATTAAGAAATGTAAGACTTCTACATTGAGTTCACAGTTTGACTTTCTGTACTCATAGACTTGTGGTATCTGGATTAAGGCCTCTCCAAAACAGCTGCCCCCTAATTTGTGACTCTAACTGCCTCTTCACTAAACTTAACACAGTCACAAGTATATGGGTTACCCTTTCTTTGAACTATTAGTGTAATACAGAGGTTTACAGATATACTTTTCACCTTTTCAACTCAACATGTATATTTTTATAATATGATATAAATGGATTGACAATATTACAGTATAGCTCTCATTATATTATGATTCAAATGGCAACATAGGTTAAGAAATTGTTTCCTTGACTTCTTTCTTAAAAGAATGACTTGCAAATGCAATTCTCCTATCTAAAATTAAGGTATATAATTTTGTGAGAATTTAATAATCATCAATACATGTTATTATTTACATTGTTGCTTTGGTTTAAAACATATAGGATACATTCAAATTCTTCAGACGTACATTTGTATCAGCTTATACATGAAAATTACCTTTCATGGCTTCTAGAATTTTGACAATGTTCTTCAATATTATGGCCTTCCCAAATGTATCCTAAAATATAGTGGCAGAAAAATATATATTAGAAATTGTAAAAAATTTAGTGACCATTTGAAGCAATGCCTGATTTCTTTAGCCATTTTTCTTTCTCAATCATATAATAAAAGAGCATCATTAACCAAAGAACAGTTGTCCCCTTATTTGAAACATGAAAGATAATTCAGTTTTACCTATAGTAGTGAGGTTTCTGTAGGTCTCCACCATCACATCTCTGTAGAGACTCTTCTGGGAAGGATTCAGCAAAGTCCATTCTTCCCAAGTGAAGTCGACATGCACGTCATCATAGGTCACTGCATTCTAAAATATCCCATACATGTGTACAACAGAAAGCATGAATTGACAACACTATAAATATATACTTCTTTGACAATATAGTCATAATTCTGGTGCTCTCCATACTTATTCCATGACATAGACATCATAATTTAATCAGCAAATCACTTTAGAAGCAAACTGAAGTGGAGGTTCACTTCTGTCATTTCTGAACCATTTGAATGGGATGTTACCTGGCAAGAGAAATGCCTACTAACCAACAATGAAAGATATGTAAACAGATCAACAGTACAGAGTATAGACAAGAGAAATTGTATGAATGATTAATTTCTGACTACAAAAACGAATAATAAGATGAAAAAGCTGCATGCATTGAATCATGCCTCTAATTCTTGTACTCAGAAGGCAGAGGCAAGTATATCTATCTGCCTCTGAGTTGAATACCAGCTTAGTTCATACATCACTTCTAAGGCAGCCAGAAATACATGCTAATTACCTGTTTCATATGAAAAAAATCAATCAAAAATGAAAGTAGAAATAACTCATAGGCTTTTGCTGAAATTTTCCACAAACAGTTATGCATTCACTTCAACTCTTTATTCATCTACCAGAAACCTGATGTGCCATAATTTAAACTGCAACATAAATAAGGTTTTACTAAAAGGCACTGTGTGTTTAGTGTTACAAATGGACAAATGAAAACAATATCAATTAATATGCTGATTACAAATAATCAACACAGATCAGGAAAGATGGCTCAACAGTAAAAGAGTCCTCCTGGTGTTATATACAGGCGGGCTCAATGAATTACATGGAGGATAACTATCCATTATTCCAAGTTCAATGTTTCTAATACCATCTTTTGATCAATGTAAGGACCAGGTACTCACATGGTGCATATCCATGCATACAGGTAAAATACGCTTTTTAAAATAAAAATTCAAAACAAATTAAAAAGGCAGGAAGAGGGTTATGCACCTGCAATCCAATGACACAGAAGGCACAGGCAGGATTAATGTCATGAATACATGCCATCCTGGGAAACATAATGATTGATACCCTCTGTCAAATTTTAAAATTCAAGATATGGGTGAAGCTCAGTACAACAGCATATGCTTGATAGGAACAAAACATACATCATACAATATAAAAACAAAAAAGCTTTGAATACTGGCCCACCTTTAATCCCAGCACTTGGGAGTCAGAGTCAGAGGTTCTCTGAGTTTGAAGTCAGTCTGGCATATAGAACTACTGTCAAGACAGTTGGGGCTACAGAGACAAACCTTGTCTTCAAAAATAAACAAACGAAAATATAAACAGTAGGCTACCAAACCACCTTAGAACCAAATAGCAGTTAATTCTACTAAATCTTATTTAATTTAGTGATAGAGTTCATGATGGTGAGAAATTTATGACAGAAAGCTGACTTATTAGTTTCAAACACAACACAGTAGGCACAAAGAACAGGAAATGGGTTAAAGTTATAGAAACTCGTATTATGGGATTCCCTTCTGTATGCTGTGATTCTCATTGGTTAATAAAGAAACTGTTTTGGGCCTACAGCAGAGATATAGGACAACTGTTAGGTGGGTTGGAAAAACTAAACTGAATGCTGGTAGGAAGAGGGCAGAATCAGAGAGAAGTCATGTAGCCCTGTTGTAGACAGACGCGGAGAACTTTACCTCAAAAGCCACAGCCACATTGCAATACATAGATTAATAGAAATTGATTAAATTAATATGTAAGAGTTAGCCAATAAGTATCTAGAGCTAATGGGTTAAGCAGTCATTTAATTAATACAGTTTCTGCATGATTATTTTAAGGATGAGCAGCTGGAAACTAACAAGCAGCTTCCCACAACAAACTGGTGCCCACATGGCCAACTAAAATCCACTTAAAATCTTAGAGAACTTGGAAAGGAATTCTAGAGACTAAAGAATAAAATTTAGGCACATTTCTTTCCCCAAATGGGCTTTGTTTACTGATGACATGCTTTGGCACCTTTAAGAGAGGTTTTTCTGATTTAGAGGTTGCAGAAAAAAGTTGCACCATTTTGAAATGCTGGCTTTTAGGACCGTGCTGCCAGCGTGAACTCTGACTCTTTCTGGAGGACAAGTTATGGGGTCTGTGAGAAGACTGCTAATGGCAAGTTAGACCCCATGTATGCCTGAAAATGGGGCAATGTACATGGCTCTCAGAGGCAGCAGATGTGCCTCTGTCATGTTGAACTGTGTGAAACAAGCAGTCAGGCCATATTTGTTCTACCAATGGCACAGCTTAAGTTTATAAGAAGTGCTTAGCATTTTAAGAAATCCTCCTGAATAGGAAAAAATTCCAGATACATAATAGGACAGATTCATACATAAAAGACCTCTAAATGAGACATAGTGTGCTTTAAAAACATACATAGAACTGGGAGAGAAAAGAAAAATTATATAGAGAGTTATAAAAACAAGTAAATGGTTTATAAAAAAATGAAATGAAGTCTTTAAAGAGACAGAGTACAGAAAATCATAAATTAAAGGAGTAAAGACAATAAAATAAATACTAAAAAGTAATAGAATAAAAACAAATAAGCAAAGTAAAGGCGGACTACATACAGAGTGTCTGGATTATGTATATTATTGTGTGTTCTTTGAATTTTTTGACTGTAAAGGAGCTAAGTAATATATATATACTTTAAAAATATCATACCTTCAGAATTTGGGTCTAAGGATGTGTTGCTATGGAAAAGAGGTTCTTCTTTTGTTTCCACGAACCATGAGAACCTGTGGAATCCTTCCAGACTAATGTGGCTTGAAAATCAAGACCACCCAAAAGATCACTGTGAATGCACAAAAAATTACTTCACAAAATAAAAAGCAGGAAGTAGTTTGGAGAGGACTATACCCATTTTCCCAAATACTGTTCATAAATGTTTGTTTACATTTAAAGGGGGATATGCTATAGAGATTTGCATTGGTAAGGATCTTGATTTATTGATACAAATTTAAGGTCAATTGTATTATGTGAATTTCTCCTCTAGATTAAGGTATTGTATTTGTGCAGCTCATTTAAAATATAATGTATAATTAAAATGTAGGTAAATGCAGAGTCATCTATAATAGTAATATTCAAGTTTGTACTCATGTTAGATTTTCTAGCTCTACAGTGTTGTATTGCAGATAGAGATTCAACAAATCTTTCAGAGACTTTCAGAATATGGCATTTAAAATATTTTAAGACCACAAGACTTTTCATGACAATGAAACACATCTGCTCCTGGTGGCACCGATCTACTTTAAGAGAACAATGGATATCGAAGAGGCTCCTTATGGAGTTTGTAAGCCATTTGGGCCAGAAGCTGCTCTTGCCTGGACTGCTTGATAAATTGGACATGCAGGACCCAGAGAAAAATGACTGCTGAGCTTGCCTAAAGGTGACATGATTCTTCAAGGTTCCTGCTTCATGAAAAAGTCTGTCAGACATTTTGCAGGACACAGAAGACAGCCACTGATGGACTTTTCCATTGCAAGGCAGAACAGGTCCTCAAATTTCCTGCTTTATGGAAAAGTTTGCCAGATAATATGGGTCTGTGGGCTGAGGACTGGATGCCCCAACAATATAGAAGAACTTTGGGTGAATGTCTGAGCAACAAGATGTCTTTGTCATTTCTAGAGTTCTGAAAGTTAGCTTACAATATACTTTCTGTTTACTTAGGTAATATTGTATCCTTCTGGAGTCTTTGATGAACTTGAAAAATTTATACTTATAGTTTTCTTTAGTTATGATAAAAGATAAAGCAGATATAAAATTGTAACTGTAATTCTTGCATGACACCTGTTTTGTTATTTGTAATTTTACTATGCTAAAATTGAAACCTTCCTTTCCATTTAAACAGAAAAGGGAAGGTGATGTGTGATTCCCCTCCATATACTGTGATTATCATTGTTTAATAAACAAACTGCTTAGGGCCTATAGCAGAGTTATAGGGCTGAACTTAGGTAGGTGGAGGAAAACTAAACTGAATGCTGGGAAGAAGAATGCGGAGTAAGAGAGAAATTATGTAGCCCCGCCAGAGACAGATGCTGGGAACTTAACCCAGTAAGCCACAGCCATGTAACGATACATAGATTTATAGAAATGGGTTAAATTAAAATGTAAGAGCTAGTCAATAACAAGCTAGAGCTAATGGGACAAGCCGTGATTTAATTAATACAGTTTCTGTGTGATTTTGGGACTGAGCAGTTGGGAACAAACAAGCATCCCTACTTACTATATCACATCATATCCCGATGAGAAAGTGCATCCAGAAAGGCTCCTCCTACTAATGGTTTCACAAGCAATCAAATGAAAGTAACCAAGAAGAGGCACATGTTAAAATACATCTTCCTATCTGGGAGGTTTTTCATTCAATCAATTACATTCTGACCTGGGTCACTATAGGCTCATGGTCATCCATGAAAAAAATTAATTTAGTCACTTCAATGATAATTATAGTCTGCAATAGGCCGTACACTGTTCAAATGTTCAAAGTCTCTTCTGATGTTCAAGACAATCACTTGACAGTGATTTGTTGACAGAAGTTTCTGTCCTGCTTGGTCCCATAGTCATTCAGTCCCAAACAAACACACAGAGGTCTATAATAATTATAAACTGGTTGGCCTATTGGCTCAGGCTTCTTTTTTTAAAATATTTATTCATTTATTATGCATTCAATATCTGCCTACATGTGTGCCTGCAGGCCAGAGAGGACACCAGATCTCATTACAGATGGTTGTGAGGCACCATATGGTTGCTGAGAATTGAACTCAAGACCTTTGGAAGAGCAGGCAATGCTCTTAACCACTGAGCCATCTCTCCAGCCCTGGCTCAGGCTTCTTATTAACTAATTCATACATCTTAGATTAGTACATAATTCTTGTCTGTGTTAGCCACATGGCTTAGTACCTTTTATCAGTGAGGCATTCTCTTCTTGTTTCCTCTATGTCTGGGTGACAACTGCAGACTGACCCTTTCCTCTTCCCAGAATTCTCCTGTTCTGG